AACCATACATACTCTTTTACCCAGTTTTAATTTAGAAAGTGAAACCAAAAATCGCCTTGGCACATCTGCATCTCTTTAATTTTAAAAGATTAATTTTAACACTTCACAGCCTGGTTGAGGCAGAAATTATATTTTCAAGGCACAAAAGATGGCAGCCATTTTAATATGGCAAGAGCATGTGTGAGAATGTATTCACACTCGAAGCCATCAAGGCAACTTATTCACAGAATGCATTTGAGCTCCAGGATTGCTGAAAAGGAAAACTGTTTACACTGCTTACAGAAATACTGAGTGTTATGCAGACCAGCAAGGAATAAAATTAAGGGACAAAGGCACACCAGACCCCTGGACACCCAAGGCACCATCCACAAAAGGAAAAATTGATAAACTGGACCTCATCAAAATGAAAGGCTTTTGTTCTTTGAAACTCCCTGTGAAGCAGATGAAAGACAAGCTATATAGACTGAGAGAACATATTTGCAAGCCACGTACCTAACAAAGGACTAGTATTTAGAATATATAAAGAACTTTCAGAACTCAACAGTAAAACCAAAAACAAAACAAAAAAATAAATAAATAATAAATCCAACTAGAAAATGGACAAAATATGTGAGCATACATTTCACCAAAGAGGATACAGAGATGGCAACTCAGCACATGAAAAGATGTCCAACGTCATTAGCTATTTGGGAAATGCAAATTAAAACTATGACAAGATATCACTAGACAGCAATCACAATGGCTAAAATATAAACTAGTAACCACAGCAGCTGGCAAGGATGAAAAGCATTCATTCATACGTTGCTGGTGGTAATGTAAAGTGCCACTCTGGAAAACAATTTGGTAGTTGCTTTTAAAATGAAACATACGGGGCGCCTGGGTGGCGCAGTCGGTTAAGCGTCCGACTTCAGCCAGACTCCCGTCACGATCTCGCGGTCCGGGAGTTCGAGCCCCGCGTCGGGCTCTGGGCTGATGGCTCAGAGCCTGGAGCCTGTTTCTGATTCTGTGTCTCCCTCTTTCTCTGCCCCTCCCCCGTTCATGCTCTGTCTCTCTCTGTCCCAAAAAAATAAATAAACGTTAAAAAAAATTTTTTAAATGAAACATACAGGTGCCCGGGTGACTCAGTTGGTTAAGTGTCCAACTCTTGATTGGCTCAACTCATGATCTCATGGTAGTGGGATCGAACCCTGTGTCAGGTTCTGTGCTTGGCATGGAGCCTGCTTGGGATTCTCTCTCCCTCTCCTCCTCTCCTGCTCATGCTTGTGCGTGCTCTCTCTCTCTCTCTCTCTCTCTCTAAATATAAATAAAAATAAACAAATAAATAAAATGAAACATGCAACGACCTTACAACCAGCAACTGCACTCTTGGGCATGTATCCCAAAGAAATGAAAACTTATGTTCACTCAAAAAGCAGGACACAATTGTTCACAGAAGCTTTATTTATGATAGGTTAAAAAGGAAAAAATAAAAATAAAAAACCATGAACCAACCAGATGTCCTTCAACTGGTGAATGGTGAAACTGGGGCACATCTACACCATGGAATAGGACTCAGCAATGAAAAGGAACTGGATACTAGAGTCCCTACGTGAATCTCCAGGGAATTACTCTGAGTGGAAAAAAAGCCCATCTCAGAAAGTTACATACTGTCTGATTCCATTTATATACCATTCTTGAAATGACAAAATTATAGGCATGGAAAACAGATTTGTGGCTGCTTGGGGCCAGCGAGGGAGGTGGACTGCTGTGGCTATAAAAGGGCAACACCAGGCATCCTTGTGGTGATGGAACTGTTCTGTATCTTTACTGTGGAGGTGGTTACATGAATTTACCCATGCGATAACACTGCACAAAACTAAATACACACACCCAAATGACTGCATGTAAAACCAGTGATCTTTGATTCAGGTGGATGAATTGTATCTATTTTTTTTTTGTAATTTTTTAATGTTTATTTATTTTGAGAGAGAGTGAGCAGGGGAGGGACAGAGAGAGAGGAAGACACAGAATCCAAAGTGGGCTCCAGGCTCTGAGCTATTAGCAGAGAGCCTGACGCGGGGCTTGAACCTACCAACGGTGAGACCATGACCTGAGCCGAAGTCGGACGCTTAACTGACTGAGCCACCCAGGCACCCAGAATTGTATCTATTTCAGTTTCTTTGTCATGATATTATACTACAGTCCTGCAGATGTTACCACTGGGGAAAATTAGAAAAGGGGTATTATTTCTTACAACTGCATGGGAATCTACAGCTACCTCAAAATGACCAGTTAAAAGACAAAGAAAAAGAATATATAAAGCCAGCCAGTGATAGGAGCGGAAAAATAAAGCTTTTATTTTTGCTAACATCTCAGGAATTGAAAGTCAAGGAAGGGGGGTGGGGAAGGAACACCAAGAAGAGAATCTACAATACAATCATCTCCTCCTCCACTATGGGGGTTTAAGTTCCCCCAGGATTTTGTTTATGTCCCTGATTTGAATGTTCTTGTTGTTAATAAATATAAACTGTATATACATCTATCTCTTCACAGCCCCACCACAACCACCCCAGACTATAAACTCACGAAGAGGGTTTTCTTAACCATCATATCCTGGTGGCCTGGCACCAAAACCAGGGACAGCTGAAGGAATGAGATAAGTTCAATGAGTGATAAATGAATGAATGAGATGCCAGCATATTCTTTAAAGTTCCTAGTCAAATACAGTTACAAGGCAGTATGTATATATTCACTTTCAAATTTCTAAAAGACATGAATGTTTTTTAAAAAGTGTTCTATGCACATGTTTCACTTGCAAGCAGAAGTTAACAACACCCAACTTTTGTAAAATGCCTCCCAATTTATAGACTTCCACATATACTCATTTGATAAGATAGGTTATGAATTATGCACACATAAATTGGAGCAAGCATATACAGATGTTTGAGAAAAACATTCTCAACAACTGTTATAACTAAGGACTTAGGCCACAATGTTAGTGCTGCTTACATCATATAATCATATATCTATCAGTATAGGAACAAAGAATTCAAATTGGGAGACTTATGGCTCACTCTGCCAACCATCAAGAGGCTTTTACGGATGCAAAAACCAAGACAGGTTAGGTGACTTGTTCAAGGTTATACAATTGGCTAGGGCTGGATTCAGAGCCTCTCCAGAGTCCCAATTCATTTCTCCTCTTAAATTGAATTGGGCAAGACTCTCTTATCTCCACCCATCCCACACCTACCCAAAACACAAACAAAAATGTTAATCTGAATCATTAATTTTTTAATAGGGTTTTTAGGGGAAAAGCTTTTAATTGTTGCAGTGCACCTTCCCATGGATGTTTAAGTGTCAAATTCCTTCTAGTATCAGAACAATATGGTACTTTATTCTATGGTGCAAGTATACTAACGGTGTGATGTTTCATCCTCCACCCAAAGAAAGGGTGGAGAGGGTGTTAACTCCAACAGGAGTCTTACATGTCTCACACGTTAGTAGCTTCAATCGAAAAAGAGAGCTATTTTATAATTCAAGAGGCCTTATGCTATAAAAAGCTTGACTGATATCCTCATTGACAGTCCTGTAATTGAATCTTCCATTGCATGCTGCCTTAGGTATCAAGAACAGTTAAAAGTATTAGAGGCAGAATAAAAGAAAAACTAGGGGCGCCTAGGTGGCACAGTCGGTTAAGCGTCCGACTTCAGCCAGGTCACGATCTCGCGGTCCGGGAGTTCGAGCCCCGCGTCGGGCTCTGGGCTGATGGCTCGGAGCCTGGAGCCTGTTTCCGATCCTGTGTCTCCCTCTCTCTCTGCCCCTCCCCCGTTCATGCTCTGTCTCTCTCTGACCCAAAAATAAATAAACGTTGCAAAAAAATTTTTTTTAAAAAAAGAAAAACTAAAGTGACGAGCAACTACCAGGAAATGGGACTTTAATTAGGTTAAATCTCTGTTACGCAGCAACATGTAACTAAGCATGAATTTAGAGGTCCTAGAATCAAAACACTAGAGGAACCTTATTTGTGCTCTAGTTCAACATCCTCATTTTTGCAGATGTAGAAACTGAGGCATTGATTAAGGACTTAACCAGTAAAGCAGCCTACTTACTTATTCAGCAACTCACCGTCGTTTCTTGGAGCCATGGCTGATTTTTTTTTTTTTAAGGTGAGAGACTATAGCAAAATTAATTTCAAGAGGGTGGGGAAATGCCTTTCAAGGAGGAGATGCTGGAGTGCGGAGAAAATATGACGTCCTTTTTAAAATATGTAACCCCTTGATGGGGGTTAGGCAATGAATCATATTCTCCTCGATTTTTCTATGTGCTATAGACATCAGCCGCAATTCTTTCTGTAGGGTCCTCAAATGAGAGGAAGAGGAAGTGAATGAAGCTGATGCTAAATATAAGGCATTCATGAGGACAGGGATGTAGACAGAACGGGGGGTGGGGGGGGGGGTAAAGAGCACGCTTCTGCTAGAATTCAGCCGTTTTCTAACGCACCTAAAGATACGGAAGCCAGGAAGAGCTGGGAAGGCAGGGCATCCCTCAAATCCGAAGGGCGGATGCTGCTAGGGCCAGAGGGACCACAGAGCACTCGGAGACAGAGCGACCCCGAAGGGACAAGATGGAGTTGAGGTCTAGGGGCGCCCTAAGGTCGTCTGGAGGTCTGGCAAGCACTTGATGTGCTCCTTCGGAAAGGGTAAAGGCAACGCACAGTAAGCCCGGTCGGGAAGATGCTTCTGGCCCTCGGGGGATGGAGGACGGTGGGTGGTAGGAAGAGAAGAAGGCAGGGCTCTCGAGGACCCTGGACTTCGGAGGAGAAGACACAGAGACCCCCGGGAATCTTCCCAGCACCGGGAGGGAGGCGGGCGGGTAGATCGGCCGGGCTCCCAAAGAAAGAGAGCCCATTCCGGGAACTGGGACGTCCCCTCCACCTCCGCGGGGCTCAGGTGCGGGACGGCGGCGCCGCCGGAGCTGGGGCCCCTACCGCGACAAGGGTCAGCAGCCGGGGCTATACTTACCGGAGACGCGGTCCACACGGCGTCTTCGCAGCCGGCCAGCGCCTGGCACCCGGGAAGCCCGCGGAAAAACCGCGTGGCCGCTAGCGCTGGGGCGAGGAGGGGCGCGCCACGGAGGCCGGAGAAAAAGCCGCAGCGGCCCGCGCGCACCCGGACGGCCGGCGGAGGCGGGACGAGGCGCGGCGCGGCGCGAGCCCGGAAAAGACGCGCCCGGAGGGGCGGGCGGAGCGGGGGCGCGCGGTGGTGTGGCTGAGCCGGCCGAATCGCGGGCGGCCGACGTCTCGGCCCACCCACGCGCCCGCCTCCGCTCGCCCCGGACGTCAGCCGAGGAGGCGGGGCCGAGAGGGCTTCCCGAGGCGAGGGAGGGCGCTGCGGGCGAGCCGAGTCGACTAACGGCTCCTCGCTGGCTCGCCGCAGCCTCTCGCTCTGGCTTCCGAGTCGCCGGGAGGGCGGGCCGGCTGGCAGCGTTATCAAGTGTGTTTTCGGAAGGGCCTGGAGCCTATCCGATTTCAGCGAGGTCTGGGGCGCGCCCATCGCCCGCACCTGTGCTGGCTTCCTAGGACTCAGCCCCAGGATGAAAGATCCCCTCGGGTCATCTTCCAGCTGCCCTTTACAGATACTCATCTTTGGACCTAGCCTCTCTTTCTTCTGAGGGAGATCCTATTCTTTCATTAAAGGCATCCTGCTCCTCCAAGCCTGAGCCAATGCCCTTGTTCCTTTCACCTCGCCTCTCACTGGGTTAAGACCCCAGCTCCCTCTCGCTTATGAAATACCAAAAGAATGGGGAGGAGGGGGGTTCACTTTATGTCTTTCCTTCCCACCGTGGTGTAATCTCAAAAGAGCCGACAGCTGATAAGGGTCACCGCGGCATTTTGACATTTTACTGGCCATGATCGTAGCTCATGAGCCAGTCCTACAAAGACCGTTCCCAAGAGATTCAAGAAATTGCTGTTAAAAATAGAATTCTGGTGAACTGCCTCAAGACTGCAAAAGGGACAGACCATAATTGTAAATGAGCCATGACAAACTGCAAGAATATATCACCAGAAGAAGTAAAAAGCACCAAAATTCTTCCAAGCTCCCTGATGCATAATGGAGGACTAACTTCCTCTTCCTGCTAGCAATGGACATTTCATTTCACTTACTATTTCCCATCTTCCCATAGAATTACTTGTCACCCTACAGGCTAGAGTCATTGTTAACTTTACCATGCATCCAGATCATCTTGGGTGCTTGTTAAAGTATGGGTGCCTATAGCTACAACCTCCGGATACTCTGTTTAAGATCTGAGGGGGACTGAGAAATTTTATTTTTTAATAAGCATCCCAGGTCACACCATGGTGGTTGGAGGCCAACATACTTATTCTGAACTGGGATTACTCAGCCAATTTCCAACAGGCCGGCCCACTTACATTTAATATGCCTACAAATATTACTACGGCAATCATGAACTTCCTTTTTCGAGATTGACCTAGAAAGTTCCGGACTTCAAACGAATTTCTCATGTTTATTTTATGAGACCTTGTTGCAATAACAGAAATAAGTAATAATTTGCCAGCTATATAATTCACTGGGTGTCTGCAGTATACAGAGCCCTGTCATCCATAGCAGGGTTAACACAAATGAAATATAAGGAATGATCATCCCTGCCCTCAACAAATTTAGTGTCTAGTCATGAAATTAAAACACAGACACAGGACAGACCCAGTGTAGCACGTAAGTCAATCTGTTGGACCAAGAAGAAAAAGAACTTATAATTAAAGAATACTTTGGTCCATTTCCTTCACTACCTATCATTTAGCTCAGACCTCTTCAACTAGGTAATCTCCTCTGAACACTGAGTCCTCAGTTTACTGAAGTTCCTCCAGCGTTACAAGGTAAAAAGGAAACCCTGAAGCTATCACGTTTTGTTGGTATGTATGAATTTGTATACATACATACCTGTGCATATGCATGTGTGTATATATGGATATAGATATATTTATCAGACCAAGAAACTACTTGAATGTTTCAAGATCTTTATCACTTACGTTATTCATTAATACAGACAGTCCTGGCTACCTTTATCACATACCAGATCTCCCTTTCTACGGTTAACCACACCCAGGATGAAGCCGGAAGAAGAGCTACAACTCCAAAAAGGAAATCAAGTGTATCCATACTATTTCTAGCTTTCCTTTCTCACTCCTTGAAGGTCCAGGCAAAACCTTGTTTAATTTCTTGTCATCGGAAACCCTCAAGCTTTCTTACCCAGGAAAAAACATTCCTCCCCCCAACCCCCCCCCCCGCCACTGCCAGCTGCCTGACATTTTAGAGAGAACATTTGCACGATTGTTTACTAGCTAGGAAGACATGGGATTATTACCCCTATTTTACAGGTGGAGAAATAGATGCAGGTTAAATGACTTGTCCGGTCACATAAGTAACTAGTAACAGAGCCTGGATTTCCTAACCATGGTTCTCACATCTCCTACACTACTGCCTTTGTGACTACATGAGGTTTCCTGGGTAGTAAGTCCTCCCCAGAACTACCAATCAAATTAGAAACAGAAGAGACAAACATATGGAAATGGAAAACACAGTGCAACTGACAGATTCAAAATACAACATCAAAAGCACTTAAAAGCATGAGAATTAGACTGAAGCCAAATGGAATTTAACACGGCAGCTCTCTTAGCAGGTACCGATATTTAGGCCTTGCTCATTTTACTCTCCTGTAACAAGAAGCTGAAAGAGATAGCCAAGCCGCTCCTGGCATTAGTTATTTATGGAAGGGCAGAAAACAACGTTCTTCATGGACTGTGTAACAAGCCTTTGTGTGTTAAACATACTTCACAGGTTTGTAAAATAATAACTTCCTCCTGTGGCCCAACTACACGCAGCAGGACTTTATCATAATATTTGCATAGACATGTTATGTTTTGTCATTAGCGAGGCCTTGTTTTTTTCAGGCCCCTAACGAGGCCAAATACTGTCTTCAAAGGTATGTCTTTAACAACTGGTAAAATCAGAAACCTAGACAAGAGATGATCTTACTGTGAATATCCCAAGCTACTGCATTCAAAAATGGTCAGCAGTGTAGTAGCTAGATCTAAATGTTATCTTTCGAGAAAGGATTCTTTCATCTTTTTCAAATGATGATTTCTTTTCATCCTGGCATATTGTACAGGTGTTTATATGAACTGAAAAATTAAAAAAATAAACATTAAAAGAATTTTTAAGTGAATTCCTATCCCCTCTAAATAAAAGCCTCCACAGTGTCCTTGCAAATTGCTTTAGCAATTCCTTCCCAAAAGTGGGTGGAAAAAAAAGAACAAACTATTCAGATTATCTGTAAGGCCAGAGGCAAATGAAATGGGCTGTGGTCGTCATCAGATCTGCATGGAAATTACCTTTAGTATATTTTTGCCCACTTTCTGTAGTGATTCTAGCCCGATAAGGTTAGGGGGAAAGATGGGTCATCAGTATCATAACTCACATTCAGTCCGTCTTCATTTTCCTCTCCCTTTCACATACAAGATTAGATTTCATCTCCCATTCTTAAAAGACAAGTCAAATCGCAACAGCATTTTTTAATGTCCCTTACTCAGAATCATTGACTACTAGAGCCAGGAGGCCACTAAGAGGCAGACTAACAGGACTGAAAACCACATGGGCTTTGGACCTGGACCAAACTAGACCAAGTTACATAATCTCTTCAAAGCCGCCTCATCTGTAAATTGGGGATAATAATGGTCCCTCATTCATAGGACTCTTCTGAGGGAGGTTAAATGAAACCATGCCTGTAAAAAGCCTGGTTTATGGCAAGTGTGGAGAAAATGGTGGCTATTAATTACCAAGTTTGACCTCCTCATTTTACACGTGAGAAAAAAAGGAAGCTGGTACCAAAACTCACATCTCTCCATTAGACCACACCCGTCTTTCTCCAGATTCTCCTATTTACTGGCTGACTTTCTTTAAAGCCAAGGGCGAAATTCCTTAAGTTTCTACAACCACCACCTTCACTTTTATTTACTAAATCACCCTCTGACCTCCAGGCTTCAATCCTCTAAATATACCCTTTGCTAGTGCCTTCTATGAAATGGACAAGCCCCTTCATTATACCTAGATATTCATTCTGCTTAAACCTTGAACACTTACTCAAAGCATTCCTTCTCCAAACTAAAATGCTATAATAAAACTGTCTCATTTGAGCGCCTGGATGGCTCAGTCAATTAAGTGTGCCACTTCAGCTCAGGGCATGATCTCGAGTTTCGTGAGTTGGGAGCCCTGTGTCAGGCTCTGTGCTGACAGCTCGGAGCCTGGGGCCTGCTTTGGATTGTGTTCCTCCCTCTCCCTCTCTGCCCCTCTCCCCTCCCCCCAAAAATAAACAAACATTTAGAAAAAAATTAAAAAACAACAAAAACACTGTCTCCTTCACATGGAACCCAGTACAGGCCAAGTTATTGTTATTAAAATGAAACAGCTTTAGCAACACTTTTAAATAACAATGGCCACCAGGTATTAAATACTATGTGCCAGACACTGCCCCAAACACTTTGCACTTATTATTTCATTTTACCCTCACAATAAGCTTATGAGGTAGATATATTACTATTTCAGGGGAACATGTGCATATCACTGAATAATGAATATTTCACATACCCAGCTCATTATCACATAAACCCGTCTAAAAGACAAGCAAGTTCTCATGTGGGAGCATTCTACTTCTATATTAGGCACAGGGGGAACCCCTCCTATAAAAAGACACTTAAAGCAAATACCTTGAAGGTGAACTCATAGATTTTGAGAGTCACTTTTAGCTAGGTTATGTATCTAATCCAGACTATCTATACGGACAGCTTTGAGAATCAGGGTCTAACCTCAACTTTCTGCAATCTCATCTCAATAGTATTTATAAAAGAATTCAACAAATCCGATTTTGTTGCCACTGGGGAAAATATTAGGTATGGCAATCTAGATCAGCATATGAATTAGTTCTCTCTTTGTTGAGCCATGAAGCAAATTAGGCCTTATGTAAAATTGTCTGAACTGTTTGTAGCGATAAATTGCTGTCCACAGACTAATACATTCCTGAAAGGCTATTTTTATTTTTTTAAGTTTATTTATTTGTTTTGAGAGACAGAGAGAGCATGTGTGCACCAGAGGGGGAGGGGCACAGAGAGAGGGTGAGAGAGAGAATCTTGAACAGGCTCTGCAGTGTCAGGGAAGAGCCTGATATGGGGCTTGAACTCACGAACCTTCAGATCATTACCTGAGCCAACATCAAGAGTCAAACACTTAACTGCCTGAGCCACCCAGGGTGGCTCAGTCGATTAAGAGGCTGACTTCAGCTCAGGTCATGATCTCACAGGTGATGAGTTTGAGCCCTGCATCAGGCTCTGTGCTAATAGCTCAGAGCCTGGAGCCTGATTCAGAATCTGTGTCTCCCTCGCTCTCTGCCCCTCCCCCACTCATCCTCTATTTCTCGCGAGCGCGCGCGCGCTCAAAAATAAATAAACCACCAAAGCAAACTTTCACACAGTAAGCCCCAGTTATCCACTGATTATCTCTTTATTATTATTTTGCTTATAAAAGAAGTACATGTTTGCTTCTTTTGTTCAAATAGAAGTTCACAAAGTAAA